CTGAGTTTTATGGCCGCCGAATGAACTCGGAATTTCTTGCCGAAGAGTACGTGGAAGTCTTCCATAGGTTGGCTAGTAGCGGATATGATATAGCACGGTTTTTAAGCACGATGTGGAATAATTAGTGTCTGTGACTTACTCTGTCACATATGACTGCTCTGTGTCCATCATAGGGGGAAATGGGCTAATGTCAATTGTAAAAGATATTATCCATCGTTTGCCTACCGATGCATACTCATTTAACAATTGGGAGGCATTAAGAACACTTTGAAGTTATGGCACCTCAGCACGTGCTTTAAGACCCATTCTAGAGACTTCAGGAAAGCTTTGACGGTTCAGCTATTACAATGGGTTTCAAAGCAATATACATTTTGGTTATTAGGTCTGAAAAGGGCCAAGTTTCGACTGGCAGAGGAACTACCCATTTTGCAAGAGATATTGATTTTCTATGTCTCAACTTGGTTTTCTTCATTCCTCCTCATGCATAGGCAATACATGAAATACGAGATTCATCAGTGAACATAATGCAGGACTTCATGGGGCCTTACGTGCTGGCAACCTTAGTTCTTCTTCAATGTTGGATGATCGTATCAGGTGAGACTATGTTTATTACCTCTTTTACAATGATTTTTTGCATAAATTTACTCTCTCCAATAGGCATTAACCCAAAAGTTTACATAATGCTTTAGATATAGTAATGGTGAAATTCTGGTGGCAGAGCAAGGGGTTGGAGAGCCCCTTCAAGTTTGGTTTTAGCCTCCTCCCTTGCTTCCCCTACCACTTTCGGCGAAATCATGAAGGCACCATTGTTAAACTTTTCCCAGGTTCAATGCTTGCTTGAAAATATTGTCAAGGCTTGTCCAAACCGTTAAATTCAGAAATAAGGAACTGATCATTGTGTGGGTGTTTCCTTGCAGGGGACATGTGCGACTATTGGAAATCCCTAGAAACGGATTGCATTGTTCCATACGAAGATTGGGGGATCCTTGAAATACACGCAGTCATTAACCCCCCCGCGAACATTTCAAGTCCTGCCACCATGAGTGTTTCACTGAAAGTAATGTCCTAGTCATAGGTATAATATTAGTATAAGTTATGCCTAAGGCATGTCGGACAATCCACATTTAACGTTGGTCAAAATTGAAAAGTGCTAGATTGCTGTGAAGATTCAGATACTGTCTCCACTCATACTTCATAACTGGATGGTCAATAGAACGAGTTCATTCATAAAATGAAACCAGATTTGCAAGTAAACGTCTCTTTTTCTTTTTTTTAAAAAATACTTAGTGGAATGGCAGTAAAAAAAAAGCACAAAATAAATCTTATTCATTATTGAATATTTAAAAAAACGATTATATTTTTGCTTGATGTCAGATCTTTTTGTAGCTTGTTTTGAGACCTACAACGGTGACTTTCTTTAAAATGTACTGCAAATTCAAATTTTCTAACTGCAGAGACAATGCAGTGAAAGACGTTGTAAGGTTTCATATTAATTTGTTGAATCTTTGCTGAGAAAATTTGCAAATCACTGATACAGAAATGTTCACTGAGAAAAACTGGAAATGGATTAATGGCATGAATTTTTGCAATGAAGGACTTGCTCACTGATAAGCTACGAGTTTGTAAAGCAGTAACAATTTTATACCTAGGTTTTAATTGCTCTTTGTAGAACGAAAGGGTGATTTTAAAGTCCTGCTCATCTTTTGAACGTTGATAACTTCTCAACGTGTGACATTATGGAGATGAGGTTGTCACCATTCGAGAAGCGAGACAATTCTATACATGAGGAAAGATTTTTGCGCTATTTTTCCAGTGGAAACGAAATTCCTGTTCTTCGGTCATATTAATATAAATGCATCGGCACTCAAAAACATGCGTGCGACACTGTTTAATTTTCTGTTCGACTGTCAGAGGGTGTCCATATCTGGGAATATCCAATACGGTTCCTGTCCTGTCAAAAGTTGAGTTGATTTGAGTAAATAACTTGTGGGTGACGGTTTCTCCGGTGAATTTCTTCCCGAATTGTCAAGCGGTTTCCGTCGCATTTGGAGTAAAAACCGAACATTTTGCAACTAGCTTATAATTGATCAATCGTTTTCCAGCCATTTTCCTCAATTCTTCATGAATTGGAGTCGATCACAGCCAAGGCACAATAACAAATTTGTTCCTCGAATCGCTTTTTTCAGCTTCGGAAAAATACAGAAGGAATGTTTCCGCATCTCAAGGCGAGATTTGGATGGTAAAGTGTGTATATAGATGGATCTCTCGATCAAGATTCTGTAGACTTTCAGTGGTTAGTGATACAAAAAAACGCTTGAAGTTGACATCCCTGATTGCTTTTAGTAGATACCGTCTGGAAATGGTCCCTTCAAGAGGTTGCTGTAGTATTAAGCATTCACTGTGGCATTTTGCTGAAAAAAGTCAATGAAATTCACCCCTTTCGAATCCCCAAAAGAAGATTGGCATGACCTAATGGCTTTGGAAACGAAAAATGATGCCATATCTTCTCCTCCACTCTTATGTCTTTCATGCCATTCATGTAAGCTACTTTTATACTAACTTGCCTTTTACTGTAACTACCAAACTGTGCCTGCATTCTAAAAACTTTCAATCCACCTTTGACCAAAAATGTTTGCTTTAGTATGTTGCTCAATGATGAAAACGTTTTCCATACATGATGCCGCTTACAGCCGCTGCGCATGTGCCAGAAATGTTATCGAGTCGTGCATGTGAACGGCATAAGTTTACATTGTTTACATATCATATGTAAATATCAATAATAATTAAGTGTTATCAATCTAGGTCACGTGTAACCTTAAAAATAAATTTCCGGGAACTTGTTTATCCACCCTCGTATAACCCCCAGAATAGGAATTTAATATCCGAATGATACCTTTAGCAAAACAATACGAACATTCTTCATTCGATACTGAATTGTCTAGTTTCGAATTCGTGAAAGCATCATCTCGTTGAGATCAAGCGCTGAGAAGCTACTGTACTCACGTTCATTGGGTGGGCAGGACTTTTGACTCACCCTGTCGGTGAAACTGACTTCTGTGCCATGATACCATGATTGCTTTACAAAGACATAAAATATTTGTTCTGAAGCCATTTCCCAAGAATTATGATCTTGAAGTAAACTAAAATGGATAGAACTAAATTCCCTCTATATTTTGTGGTGTGATGATGCTTTACCAGGAATTCTCTTGCAGGTGCTTTCTTCTCAATTGGACGAGCAGGCTACTGTCACCTTGCGTGATGGCGAAAATGTGGCACTCATTCCGACCATGTCTCGTGATGGGATACGTGCCTTTCTCAGGATCATAATCAAATCGAACGCTTCCCAATCCTACTGTAGCAACAAGACCATTTTTATAGATGTGATATATTCTTTATTTTCTTATTTTCAGGATGCTTGGATGCGTTCTTATATGAGAGAATTTCGGAAAATAAGTTTTCCATGTCTCAAAGAGAAACACTTTCAGTACGAGTGTGACGGTACATATTTTAATATATACATTGCTCCTAGCTCTAATATCCATACACCGATGGCAGGGAGCATGCGCAGTGACGGCTACAAAATGACCGCACTCTAGGAAGCGTACGCAAACAATGAAGTTTGCAGTGTGATACATTTTTGGGGGGGCAAGCAAACATGCACCCGTTGATATCCACCGTCATATTGCTGTCGTGTATGGTGACGATGGGAAAATGATAAAGAGGTGGTGGCGTGCATTTGCCGAGGGCCAAACGACTGTGGACGATGATAAAAGCTAGGGTCGCCGACTTCATTCGCAAGGTTTGGAAAAACGCATTTACCGATGGGACCAATGTATGGGACAAATGTAGGTGGCGATTATGCAGGAAAGTGGAGTTGGAACAGGGTTCCATATTATTATTGCTTGTACAAATGTCAGAATTGTCTTTTTTTTTTACAGACGTGGGAAACTTATTTTCCGAAATCCCTTCGTAGTTTGTAAATGGGTCGGGGGAAAAATGGAAACAAGGAATTTGATTTAATTATTGTTATTAGTAATTAATTATTGTAAGGTTGCATGAAATGAAGTTTGAGATTCCTGTGACTCAAGATGATAATGGCAAGTCTCAACAAATGAAACCTCTTTGACACTGAGCAGTGTGGCCTATACCACAACCACCACAACGAGAACTTATATAAGGTGACTAACCCCCCCCCCCCCTTTTTCAAGGGAAGTAAGTAAGATTTGCATGAATTCCAGCGAAATTAAGACGAATAATTTATTGATTAGACATATTTAAGCATTTCGGATAATTGTTTTCTTTGTAACAATTATGTTAGCCATCCATTTTCTTATTACATGGTGTATTTATTGATAATTATACATCCAGTGCCATTTTGGTCTACACTCCATCATCTCAGAATTGAATTAGTTTGCCCAGTATTGACCCAAAGTCGTATTTACCTAAACGTTTATGTTTTAAATGATCTCCAAGACCATATACACGTATTATCTTGTTGTATTTAAAAAAATACCTATTCTCATGAAATTAGACAAATAGCAGCTAGATCCAACTTTCCCTTGAAAAGTTAAGACCAATCAAGAAGAGTGGTGGCATTACAATAACCGTATAGTCAAGGAAGTGAACATCTGGAAGTTGGCGGCCATGTTGCATTCTTATGACAAAATTGAAACTCACTTTTCTTGGGCTCTGCTGGCAATACATACTTATTTTGTGTTGGCTACAATCAAAATATGTCAAATTTTTACCGAACTTAATTGAATTCTGAGATGGTTAAGCACATATATTTTTTCACCTCACTTAAGGTGGAGTGATCCGCATGTAAACAGTGTAAATGAGCATTGCATGACTCAGGCAAGGGTGCTGAAATAAATTATGTCTCTCAGGACCTTGTAACCATCCAGTCACTTGCTTAATCCATGTGTAATTTTTACAATTGTATTAATGAAGCTGTGTTTCTCTATTTAGAATATGGTAGGGTGATTTCTTTTACTATTCCCATGCATCAAGGTGTGGTGAGTAAGCCAGAAGGAAACAGTAAACGACCTGAACACCATAGGATACGCCAGAGGAGAATGCGAATCAGGATGGGAGATTGCCAAAGGAGAGAATAAAATAGGCAATAATTATTGCGGTAAACATTTGACATTTGTGATGAAACAGAAACATAATACTAAACAATGTCTCAAATGAAATAAATAGGAAGCAAGAAATACCTATTAGTAAGTTGTCAGAGTATATTTATACTTTCAAACAGATATATTGTAGGTTTTGGTTGCTGATTGCATAAATCTGAAAATCCCATCACTGTCATGAATTGAAACATGATATTTAATTGGGGAGATATGTAGGATACCATGCTCAATCTCGATGTTTAACGTAATTGCACTATTTTCTTTTAAAACTTAGTTCATGCTCGTCAGTCATGTCTCTGGACTAGAGAGCTGACTGTTCTTGACCATGGGAACTGGAATTTTGTGTGGAATAGATACTAAAAGAAAACAGATTTTTGGAAGGATTTAGGGATGCAGCTGAGTTGATTTCATGCGAAACAACCAATAATTATATTTTATCCCTTTGCCAGGGTTACTTGGAAGGAGATGGAGGGACAAGAAAGGTTCAGTTCCTGAAGTCAAGTATCTTGCTTAACTGGGAGGAGTACTTTCTCTTGAATCTGGAGTCCCGCGTTTCAAGCCAAGAATCCCTTTCAAAAGCTCTGGAGTTCAATCTGTCAAGTCAGGAGTCCTATTCAGCAGCTCTGGAGTCCCATTTGTTAAATCTGATGTCCCGTGTGGTTACTCTGGAGTCCAGATTGTCAGGTCTGGAGTCGCTTCTAGGTTTTCAATCTCTCTTAATTTATACCTCTCCATATAGAAGGAAAGGAAAATCATACTTTTAACTTAAGTACGTAATTTTTCTTTTGGGGTGAAGGTTTTTAACTCGTTTCAATCAACCCAGCCAATTTGGATGACATCGTGTTTTCTTCCTCCATCGAGTGTGTGGGATTGTGGAAAATATTAACCTCTTCTGCAGTGAAGACAATGCACATCTGGATATGACTCATTATTACCCTGAGAAGACCCATAATTGAGTTATCAAGATTAATGTTAAGAATGAAGTTAGACAGAGATGCAAGAATCTGAATTGATTTACATTGACCTAAATTATGATTATAATCAACTAGATTTGATACCGCCTTTGTAAACAAAGGCAGATTTGTAAGCTTGACAAAACTCCTCAGTTTTGTCAATCGAGTAGTTTGAGCAAGTAAGGACAACTTTACTTTGCAGTTATGGAGTCTCTACTCATTGCTACAATGGCAGCATATTTGGTGGCTCAAAAACAGCATAATAGAGAGGTTACTTGAGGTAAGATGATAAGGAAACTGTTGTGAAGCAATCCTCTTCCATCATTTTTGGAACTTTCAGAAAGTTATCATAAAATTGCATTATCGATGACATTAAATCTTTTCTATACGCTATTGCTCGTGCGTTTATCCTCACATTTAATTTATGAAGTTCCTTTGGAGGGTTATCTTTTGGTGGTAAGATGCTACACCCTCCATTCAGTAGGTTGCAGTATCTAGCCACCTGATCTCACTTCCATAGGCTTCTCTTTTAGGGAGTTGGGTGACGGAAAATGTTTACTTAAGGAAACCGAGATATCTCGATCACTTGGAGAATTCATCATGGAAGTTACAAGGAATGTTCCGCAGCAGTTTCTCTTACACTCTGGTAATGTCGCTGAGTGCTTAAGAAAAACTGTGGAAAATGCTGGTGCTCATGCGGATATTTAATTATTGTGGTATAACATGACATTTAATTATCTTTAAAATGCAGCTAGAGAGATGGTTTTATCTTTCCTACAACATAAATTATGTATTTTAAAAATTAGGGAGCTATTTTTTAAACACCCTCTACGAGGTGTGAGCAAAAAGTTCTAAGACTTAATTTTCATGACGGTGTGGTGACTCTTTCTGACTGCTGATGGTTATATCCTTAAAACTAGTCCTCTTCAGCATCTACACAAATTTTCCGGCGTTTCCTCAGCCGCTGGAGTCATTGCTGACACTCACCTTTTGGAATCCCCAACAGCGCTCCTGCTAGTGCTGGTGCTGGTGCTGATTGCGCTGGTCCTGGTACTGGCCCTTGTCCTTATTGTTCACTGCAAACGCCTTAAGAAGTTGTTGGACACTTTGAGAAAACCCTCTCTGGGGAATGATGAACACATTCAGGTCAGACATACTTTCGACCTCAGGATAATACATTCGCTTTCTTGTTTTAAAATAAAACTTTAAAATATATTACGGAAAATAATCATTCAATTTGCTGCGTGAACATATTTTGAACTACGAGGTGCTACATAAAAGTTCCCGAAATTTGAATGTCCCGCGCTAACCGGTTATAGTACGGCGCTCTGCCGCTAGATACTGCTTGCTACACCCCCTGTGAGTCAGTCTATGAGTTTCCGTCGTCATTGGTTATCGCATTTGTTTACACAGTGCTTGTTTGTAACCATGTGTTAGCAGTGTTTTGCGATTTCGAAATGAGTGAAGTGAAAGAGCAAGAATGTGCATTAAATTTTGCTTCAACCTCGGCAAAACGGCAGCTGCAACTCACCAAATGTTGAGAAAAGCTTTTAGTGAGGAAGTAATGGGTCAAACGCAAACCAATGAATGGTTTAAGCGATTCAAAAACGGTCGCACATCCATTGAAGATGATGAACGTTCCGGACGTCCTTCATGTGCCAACAATGTTGAAAATGTTGTCTTGGTTCAGGAAAAAATCCATAAAGACCGACGACAGACCATTCACGATGTTTGTGAGGTTCTTGGATTGTCGTATGGGACATGTCAACGAATTTTGTCCCATGAACTGGGTATGCGTCGAATTGCAGCAAAATTCGTCCCTCGGCTCCTGTCTAACGATCAGAAGCAACACCGCGTCACTGTCTGCACTGAGTTGAATGAACAGTTTGAAAATAACCCAAACTTCATCTCACGGTCTTCATGAATTTTTTCCCGAACCAAGGCAAAATTTTCATCATTTTTGGCACATGAAGGACGTCCGGATCGTTCATCTTCAATGGATGTGCGACCGTTTTTGAATCGCTTAAACCATTCGTAGGTTTGCGTTTGACCCATTACTTCCTCACTAAAAGCTTTTCTCAACGTTTGGTGAGTTTCAGCTGCCATTTTGCCATTTTGCCGAGGTTGAAGCAAAATTTAATGCACATTCTTTGCTCTTTCACATTACTCATTTCGAACTCGCAAAACACTGCTCACACAAGGTTACAAACAAGCACTGTGTAAACAAACGCGATAACCAATGACGACGAAAACTTTTAGATTGACTCTCAGGGAGTGTAGCAAGCAGTATCTAGCGGCAGAGCGCCGTACTATAACCGGTTCGCGCGGGACATTCAAATTTCGGGAACTTTTGGGTAGCACCTCGTATATGCAGAGGTCACTTCGTATTTGTTGAAATGCTTGAGCGCATTTTGGTATGTCAGCGTGTAGATTTTTCATTTCATTACTTGAGATGCTAATGCTGCAATCTCCAAGTTTATACGACAACTCAAATCCAATATATACTCGTCTAACATTTTTGTGAAGATTGTGACTGAATTTGGCAGATTCCTAATGAGCAAGGCAATAGAGCGGATGGTTACCTTTTGATATACGACATACTTTTGCACTCACACTTATAAAACATGCACTCGTATTTTCTTCCCTCATTCATGCTCTGTGTCTCGCCATAGTTTTTTTCTAATGTGATTATGCACACCGAGTAGGTTCATTGACTTGGAACTTCCTCTGATAATACAGGTTGATCCAGACGTCAAGTAATCATAACCAAATGTAAGGGAAAAACACATTACATTGCAACATGATTACATATGCATGTGATTACATGGGTTACAGTTATTACAGTGTAATGCAATACTAATTATTGCTGCGGCCACATTGCGGCATCTATGACTACCATAAATGATTGGTTTGTAGCATAAAAAAATATGATCAGTGTTGCCTGACTTCTGGATCGCCCTGTATGTTGAGTGAATAGGAAATGAAAAATGAGAGATCATTTTGGACACTGTTAAAAAATGGGTATTGAAGATTGCTTTGCTCCATTATTGGTGATTTTGGCAGGAGAATGCGGCAATGCTTCCTTGGTCATCAGCAACTGCATCGGGGATTGAGGAAACGGACACTCCACCCTCAATGAGTGAGCAATCGGACACTCCGCCAGAAACCAAAGAGACAGAGGGGGGCATCAGATACAGGTTAGTCTTGGCAGATGAACTTTCCTCCATCTTAGCTTTGAGTGAATACATTTTTGTCGAAAAAAAAATGCATGCAAATATTGACATCCATTCATTGATGTACTCATGAAAATTTTATTGCTACTCCTGCTGTCAGTTTGTTTCTCTGGTTTACTTTGAATAATGTTTAGTGGTTACTTGTAAGGTCGGTCATGATGAATCAAAAAAGAACTGGTACTTGTGATTATCGCCATACAAGTTGAAATGAAAGGAACAATACACGGTGTCTATGATGTTACTCCCAAACTCTAAAATACCCTATCTCCATTACAGAAAAGCATAACAACTTCATATTCGGTGTAATGAATGTACAGCTAGTTGGATTCATGGCAGCACAACTTCCTAAAAGTTTCTGGATATCACCACCAGGGTAGCCTTGTACCGGTCATATACACGGTGCCACCTGACACTGGATAAAAACGATGTCATGCTTGCAATTTTCCATTTATGTCATCTAGACAATTACTATATTTACGGCCTTGAATTGAAGCTGTTCAGTGACTCAATGCCGGCCAAAACTGCACCCTTTTCATCCTGAGGAAGTACCAATATGTGAATCCGAGACAGAATCTGGAATTCATCATTTCAATTCATAATCTCGAACTGAAGACATTGAGGAAGTAATTTTTTATCGGTAAAAATAATTTCAAATTGGAGCACAAATAAAATCTTCATATATGAGACTTTACTTGAAATATTCGATAGTCTGTGCGATGCCTCCAAGTTGTGAATCCAAGCCGCGCTGATGGTACTCGCTTTTTTATTTAATCAACCAGAGCGATGTTCTTATTCCACCCTTGACTTATCACCTCTTTGAATGCCTTTTCAATGTCTTCAGCTGGAAATGCCTAGGCGGATAGTTTTCAACCATTGAAGGCAAAATGTGGATATTCTGTTATCCTTGCCCCAGATGCATTGACTGAAATGAAAAAAGCATCCTCGCATTTTGGCATTCGAAAACACATCGATATTGCCAAAGCAGGTTGACTGAACACATTTATTTTTGCGCTAGGCTTGTTTCTCCATCGCAGAGATGGAAGGAAGCTGGTCTTGAACAACTATTGATGCGTCACATCAATTGATAGCGTCATACAAGTCGCGACGATTACCTGTGGGGTTTCAACTTGAATGGGACAAACTGGATTGTAACGCTTATTTCTTACTCCATGGACTCCCTTGCTGTCTTGAATTGATCTTATCTTGCACCCTGACTTGACCTCGATGCGTCTCCAGAATCCATTATTCCCCAGCAAATTCCGTGTGTAAATTTCCCTGTTTAGAACTACTTCTTCAATGCCTTTGTGACGAATTCGGCCGTGATCTGGAAAACCCCTGATCAAACTTTTCTGACTGACTGAACCTGAGTCTTAACTCAGAGTCGGAATATTTTATATGGACATAGATACGGGAATACCTTTAGCCACGAAGGTCAATAGGAACCAGCTGTTTTTTTATTATCCCTAAAGGTGTGCCACCATGCTGCCAAATTTGCTGGGGAATCGATAATGTTTTTCATTGTGTATTTTCCTTTGTTAGATTTATTCAAATCGATAGAATATCAATGACATACGTAAAGATTACATCGCTAAAGTATTTATCAAGGACGTGATGACAGCACTCAAGATGTCTTCAACTTCCACCACCCCACTCCAACTTCCCATCCAAACCATCCGTACCTTAGCTAGACTTGGCACACTGGTAATAAGTAGATCATGCAGGAACATATAATTGAAGTAACGATAAATCATGTTGTCAGAAAGTAGACTGAGCGGACTCAAAGGCGAGGAGTGAGCTTTTCTAAATCAGTACAATTCCATTTGTCTGTAGCATTCAAACCCTAGTCGAATTCACGTGCTACCAACAATGAATAGAACGTTTGCGTTTCAATTATTCTCCTGTTATTCCTCAGGTATTTCAGTGATAGGCGCAAATGTGTTGAAGTGATTTGCTCTCTGAAGCTAGTTTTATATCACCACCATTAGGGGCAGAACATACGACCGGGAGGAATACGAAATCGTGAAGAGAACCATCTACGCTCAAGCCCATGGGGAACCAAAGGAAAGCCAACAAGGTGTGGCATGGGTCATTCGGAACCGCGCGGATGCCAATAAACCATACTTCGGAGGAAGTCGCTTGAAGAATGTGTGCCTACATCCTGGGCAATTCGCAGATTGGAATAGTAAATTAGACATTCCCATCCACGAAAAGCAGGCCTATGACAGCATCGACGAATGGTTGCCCAATCTCCTCAGAGCACCCAAAGATGAAGACCTGACCCTTGGCAGCGATCATTGCAATAACCCGGACATGGAGGGCGTCCCATCCTGGACCAAAAATTGCTCTAGAACTGTAAAGTTCGGCAACCTAAAATTCTACAAGTCCAATTGACATCGTTGCTGCCTTTTCTTTCAGTTTGGGTGTTATCACCAACAACCTGCGCCTAATAATGCCTCGCTTTAGCGTATTACTCTACTGTTCTTCTGTTTGTAATATTACTAGCAATGCCTCGTTGCTTGCTTTGTTTCTGGTTCCTTCCCTTTTCTTTCCCTGATGGTGTCAATAAAATATTCAGCTACCTGCCTTGATCGACGATATCCCCTCAACTTACATCTTCCAAGAATGTGCCATTTGGTAATGACGAATTCGACTCCTCAAACCTTTTGGGGGAATTGTATTGATACATGAATAGGTCCTCGATGTGGTATGCCAAAGGGGAAAGAAGGCTGGAGGTGGAGGGGGACAGTTTTCTTCAATGTCAGAAATGAGGCAGTGACGACGTTCTTTCGCACCAAAACATGAACGCTTTCCATCGCTGACAGTTCCACTCCGAGGCGACGGCAACGGAATGGAAGAGTCCTAACAACGCATGTGGAAATTATCATCAAAACTGAAAAACCAGAATAATCTTAACTCAATATCAAAGTTTCCCTTTGTGATGTATCACGAAGATGTACATCACTGTTTGTCTCTGATCCCACACGCCTTGCATCCCCTTCCTTATTCATCTAAACAGCAATACCACTGACCATCAAACACTAGCCATATTCAGCCTACAAACCTCACTCACCTGAAAGAGATTACAATTTCCTGCTTAACTTACGAGAAATTCGACACCTATCTCTCAGAACACTGTCCCCCATTGATATATCGCTGACAGCTGTGCTAAGGACGACCCGGTCTCCCAGCGCAGGCGGCGAGTAGTGGACTCCAGAAGCATTTCTTCCTACGAGAAAGAAGGAATGAGGGAATAGGGTGGAAAACTTTAAATTATCGCCTTTTCTTTCGCATCATTTTAATTTTTATTTTCATGTCGCATGACCAGTGAAAACGGGGGAGGCGTACTCGAACGGAATTATCCCGAATCGGAGCAATGTCGACAAGTTTTCGGTGTCGGAATTCTATCGACCGGAACAACGCCGACTGGAACAGTTGGAACTGGAAAATGATCAAAATGCACTTCTACTCTGTTTAACCTAGCACCTACTAAAACCTCCTTGTCGTCCAATGCATGTCCAGTTTCCGAAATGATGATGCAGTTCACGGACATCAACATTGCAAATTACTAAAGTAATAGAAATAAGTTTGCATGCTTTTCTCTTCCTTTGTTCGTAGCGAAATGCTTCGTTTGCTGCAACGTTCGGAAAAGACGGGAAGCTGATTTTCAGGAATCAAGCGTCATCTATTCTATACAGAAGAAACCAAGGACACCGCTGGCTTAGGATTTTTCACATTATTCCTATTCGGCGTTGTTCCAGTCTGTCTCATTCTGGTCGGCGTACTTCTGTCGACATTATTCCGGTCGGCGATTTTCCAGTTCGGCGTTATTTCGATTCGGTTTCATTCCGGTTCGACACTGTTTTTGTTCGGCGGCATTTTTTTTTTCGCGTCTGTTCTAGCGACCCGTAAAAACACTTAAAAAATGAAGTTACTCATTATAGTTTCTTTTTCTTCTTTTTATCGCACGGTGAGAAATTTCACCAAATTCACGAAATAGACATTCCAAGTTCGGACGAATAAAAGAGATATTTTGGTGCTACGCACATAGAAAACATCATTCTTCAGGCTACAATATTCTTGCCAAAATCAAAGCCCGACGTCACGCGCTACACGACGTTACATGAAAAACGGGAATCCCTAAAATCACGGTTTGGTGAATGTTGTGACACCCATTGCACACGCTGCACCCATTGTACATGTTCACATACGCAATCCCTAGCGTACAAGACCGGGAACAAGACGATGCTGGTGCTTTTACGAATAAGCATTGCAATTTAGTGCTCGTGCAGAAGCGGATCCGCAGTTCCTACAGAACGTCTTTTGGACGGACGAAGCGCATTTTCCCATTTCTGGTCATGTTGACACCCACAACTGAGCCATCTGGTCGGATGAAAATCCGAAGGCTTGCTTGAGGAGCCACTCCATGACAAAGTCACAGGGTGGTATGGTTGCGATGCCAACTTCATCCTGCCATTCCTGTCGTTGTTTCTGTGGAATTTCTGCAAGGAAAACTGCTTATTCATGGTAAGCATGATATATTCCTATCAATGTCCCAGAGTGCTACGCGGAAATGTCCTCTATTATTTGCATTATACACCTGTGCAAATAAAACTTTTTCTGGAGCATGCCTGAACACGGATCATCAGGCAATTTTTCACGAGAAATTAATTGGATGAGTGCTAATTATTAGTAAATTAAAATGGGAAGCGTGTTAAACAACTTCATGAAAAGCAGAGCAAATAAGAATTACCTTTTAGGTTATCATTTCTCAACCCATTCCTTGCAAACACACTCTCCTCAGGAAGCGAGATTCTTTCGCCTCTTCCTTTTCTGTGGTGTGAATCCACCTGGTGTGCACAGCCAATGCGGACGCAAACAGGAGCTTGTCCAGCTTGTCGGAGCTAAGAAAGTTGAGGTTCCGGTCGGCATTTGAGCCGTGTAAGCTGGGATCGCATAAAGAGAAGTGATGCATCTCAGGAATATTTATGAATGCTTTATTACCCCTTCAGACCCATATTATTCAACTATTAACTATTTCATGATATTTATGCTTGAGAAGGTCGTTGTTTTTTATGTTTGCTGTTTGAAGGTTGTCGATGTGACTAGAAATAAAACCCTTTCACATCTTTAAAACAATACCAATTATTGGTGAATTCCTTAACTGCAGTAACTATTGGTTCGGCGGCGCTGCCGAACCCCATGTGGCTTACACGACGCGAGAGGCGAAAGAAGCCCCTCAAGTCTGCTGAGAAACCGCATCCTATATATTAAGAACGTAACGAAGCCGCGTGCGTATGAAGCCTCCGATGCCTGGGCCTATGTGTGTATGTCCGCAAGTATCAGATACATGTGCGCTTGTGCGGTGCCTTTTGCCTGCCTTGGATGTACGTCACTCTGTCTCGGGCGAGCGCTTCTTTTTCCGGCCGTTGTGACAGTCGGATCTATTCGCGAGGACGTAACACCCTAGGGGGGGTATCCAGTTCGGATGGGATGAGATGACCAAAAAAAAAAAGGGAGAGTGACACTGAATCGAACTGTATGCCTTCTGATTTCCCATCAGGTATGTTACCACTGCACTACGGTACCGTCACGGAGTTGCACCTCCGTTGCTCTTCTTGATAATGGCTACGAGGTGAAATGCAGGCGGCCCCATGTTCTTTCAAAATCCTCCCTATCCTCCTCGGAAGCATTATCTTGCAAGGCTTTACGATAAAACTCCAATTTTTTCCTCTCTGAGTCTTTGTTCTCTTCCTCGCTGGCCACCAATACGAATTCCATGAGGTAGGAAGTGCTTCGAGATTCGCCAACATAGAACTTATCCCTCCTCTTCGCTTTCTCACTTGTGATCAAGAACACAATGGGGGACTCCATGCCCTTGAAGGCTTCAGCATACTCAACCACGAAGCATGGATCGCTGGAAGGAGTCCCCAGCTTCGTTCTCATTTCTCCAAGAAGTCGCTCTCCATGGACTTGAAAATCACCTTGTTCTGTGAAGAGAATGGCTATGTCCCCTTTGCGTGACCCACTCCAGAATCTTTTTTCAAAATTCCGAGGATCTTTTCGGCTAGTATTGAACTGGAAACGTGATATCTTTCCGCTTTGGGGCCACGAAAATCGTGTCCGGGTCGAATTTCTTCGCTTTTATAAGCTGGATCGCGGGAGCGGGAAGGATTCAAATCAAAGTCTCTCTCGAGTGACAGTTGATCAGAAGACCAGGTGTGGAAGACGGCTCCAGGATTCCGATAAACCGTTAACAGCGAATGGGCCCCTTTTACCTCCTCCTTCAAATTTTCTGGGATTATCGGTAAGGATAGGGGGTCATAGGCCCTCCAAAAATATCCTCCACTTGCATTATGGAGAGCACGTAGAGAGTTCCACCAATGGTCATCGTAAAGAAGGCACAAATCTTCAGCTTCGTCGACGAATATGTGGTGGAAGGGGGGTTTCCGGGTCTTGAGAACCTTTTCTAAGTCCTCGAGTGCAAGATCCTGTACATTTCCAGGCAGTTCAGCCATGTGAATCCGACATTCAGATAACCGAAGACTGATTCCCTGCATACACCTACTTGCGCAACTTTCGTAAATCATCTGGACGGGGTTGGCTTCCTTATATGCCATGCTGTAAACATTTTTCTCTAAGCATTGCAAGGCCGTCATTTCCGGTGTGAAGGACTGAATGAGGCAATGCATAATGTACGCTTTTAACGGCCATTTCCCGGACTTTTCGGGAAGGAGCGAGGAGACGGATCTCTTAAAAAGTTCATAGAAAAGGAATAACTCCCAACTCGCACAGCTTATTCTTGAGGTTATTTCCATTTTTTGAAGTTCATCTTTCTCGTCAACCTTCCTACGAGATGACATATCATCAGTTGCGTTGACCTCCTTCCAGTCACGAACTCCTTCAATTGAGATGATGTCAAGGAGCAAATGATGAGGTTTTTATGTAAAATCCTTCTTATTCTCTGATTCTCGCCCTCCACTTCCTTTTTGCTTATATGTCTTAGAAGCATAGCCGTGGACGACGTGAATAAGAGCTCAGGAAGTGTCTGCCGCAAGTGATCGGCGAGATTGCGATTAAAACAGACCAGAAGGATCTTCTCGTCCTTGTCCGAGATGGGTCCTTTGGAGAACCAAGACATGAATATGTTCCGGATCTTTTCCTGGAGCATCCAAGTCTTCCCGGTCCCAGCAGCACCTTTGAATACGAAGTCCCTTGGCCCATTCACCAACATCTCCAGTTTGTCTGCGGTGAGGAAATCGAGCTTCTGAGTCGTCAATCGGGCCGTATAGGCCGGGGTCGCGTACACGGGAGCGATGTGTCTAAGGAGAATGACGATATCATTCATTCCTCACTTTTGGGAGCAATACAATGACGTTTTATGAATATTTCAGGAGTATTGATATATTTTAGGTATATTCTGAGGCAGTGGGAGAGTGGGAAAAATATAGGGATCCCAT